CTTGTCTTTGGATGTGACATTCTAGTTTGCTTTCCAACCTGACATTCACCACAGACTCTCCCTTCATCAATCTGAAGCCTTGGAATCCCTCTGACAGCCTCCATGGATATGATCTTTTTCATCCCTCTAAGATGTAAATGACCAAGTTTTTGGTGCCACAGTTTCACTTCCTTTTCTTCTTTGGCTATAGAGCATACAGAAGAGTAGTTAGTGTTCTCAGACTCCCATAAGTAACAGTTGTCTTTTGATCTGACTCCTCTCATTACAACTTCTTGTTTTTCATTAGTTACAAGACATTCAGACTTGGTGAAGTTGACCTTGAATCCTAGATCACATAATTGACTGATACTTATGAGATTAGCAGTCAAACTATTTACCAGCAACACTTCATTTAGGTTTAGAACTCCAGGGCAGTCCAAGTTTCAAACTCCTTTGATTTCTCATCTAGCACCATCTCCAAAAGTGACATAACTAGTAGTATGAGGTTTGACATCATTCAGCAGATTCTTGATTACAGTAATGTGTTTAGAGCATCCACTGTCAAAGTACCAGTCTTCCTTGGCAGAAACTCTAAGGGAGGTGTGAGCTATCAGGGTTGCAGTCTTTTTCTTCCACTGTTGAGTATATGGTGCCTTGTTAGTCTTAGGTTTAACATATGGGGTCTGATTAGGATATCCATATAATCTGAAGCTGAATGGCTTTATGTGACCAAACCTTCCACAATAATGACATCTCCATCTTTGATACTTTTTCTTCATATTTCTCTGTTCTTGATGTTGAGTCCTATGTTGTGACATCCGCTTTGACATTTGTTTATCAGGCCTGGTCTTCTTCTTGTCAACAGCAGATTTCTTTGCAGACACAAAACCTAGACCAGACATGTTTCCTGCATTTTGTCCAGCCTGAAGGATTTCTTCCAACTTGTCAGTTCCATTTGTTAACATCTTGACAGACTTAGTCATCTGATCAAGTTTGGAGTTCAACATTAGAACTTCTCCTTCGAGATGGCTTATAGTAGAAGTGTTTGCCTTCTTCTCAGCCTCCAACTTCACTATGAGCTTTTTCTGTTTCTCATTTTGCTGACAGACTTCAGCACTTCTGATACATAGCTTCTTGTAGGAGTCAGCAAGTTCTTCAAATGTCACTTCCCCATCACTAGAATCATTATCAGAGTTACAAATACCAGATAGTGCAGTAACTAGTTTAGCAGATTCTTCTTCAGAGTTACTTTTTGAGTCACCATCAGACCAAGTAACAGACATTCCTTTCTTTTGTTTCTTAAGAAAGGTAGGACATTCAGCTTGAATGTGCCCATATCCTTCACATCCATGGCATTGGATTCCTCTACTTTAATTTCCCTTTTCTTCAGACTTAGTTTTTCTGCTGGAGTCATAGGATCTGCTAATGTCAGAGGAAATGTTCTTGACATTTGACCTTGACTTTGGGTCCATTCTCTTGATGAGTTTGTTGAATTGCCTTCCAAGCATAGCTATAGCTTCTGAAATATTCTCTTCATCACTCTCCTTGCTTTCATCTTCAGTATTGGATACAAGGGCTATGCTCTTGTTTTTCTTATCAACATTGTCACTGATCCCCATCTCAAATGTCTGAAGTGACCCAATGAGTTCATCAACCTTCAAGTTGCAGATATCCTGAGCTTCCTCTATAGCAGTCACTTTCATTGCAAACCTTTTAGGCAAGGATCTGAGAATCTTTCTCACCAGCTTTTCTTCTGACATCTTTTCTCCCAATGCTCCTGAGGTGTTGGCAATTTCCAAGATGTTCATGTGAAACTCATGAATGGTCTCATCTTCCATCATCCTTAGATTCTCAAATTTGGTAGTGAGCATCTGAAGTCTTGACATTTTTACTTTGGATGTACCCTCATGGGTGGTTTTGAGAGTGTCCCAAACATCCTTGGCCAGTTCACATTGATGTACTAGTCTGAATATGTTTCTATCAATTACATCGAACAAGGCATTCAATGCTTTAGAGTTACCCAGGGCTAACTCATCTTCTTCTTTGCTCCATTCTTCCTCAGGTTTCAGACTAGTCGTCCCATCTTTCCCAGTTATGGTGGGATGGTTCCATCCTTTGTCAGCAGCTCTCCAAGCTTTTTTGTCCAGTGACTTCAAGAAGGCAACCATACGAGGTTTCCAGTAGTCATAGTTTAATCCATCCAGAATAGGTGGTCTGTTCCCAAATCCTCCTTCCTTGTCCATAGCGCCAGAAAATAATATCCCTAGATCTCACCCAGAAAGACAGGCAGGGTGCCTCCTCTGATGCCAATTGAAATTCTGGCAACAGATACTTAATGTTACAGTGAATGTTATGACACCGTATCTGACAACTTGTACACACACCAAACAGAATTTAAAAGACAGTAAAGAACACAATCAATTGTTAACCCAGTTCAGTGTATAACAGCACCTACTCTGGGGGCTACCAAGCCAGGGAGGAAATTCACTATAAGAGGTATTAATTTAACAATAAAC